TTGGTTGCCGTGAGATGACGTCATGCCTACTTCTGGTAAAAGTATCTCGCGTCGCCCTAGCTCATTCCTTCTAGTTCCTGCTTTCTTGGCTCTTGAGTGTGCGGATTCCCGCCCCTATTGAAAGACGTCTTGCAATGCTTGCAGTCCGGGGATAAGTTCCGAGCTTCCAATCTACAAGATGGTTTTTCCCGGATAAGTTCCTTGGTTCCAGTCTACAAGATGGTTTTTCCCGAAGAAGTTCCTTGGTTCCAGTCTACAAGTTGACTTTTCAGGAATAAGTTCCTTGGTTCCTGTCTACAAGATGAGTGTTCCTGAATAAGTTCCTTGGTTCCTGTCCACAAGATGACCTTTCCACATAATTCCTTGGTTCCAGAGGCTACAATGAGTGACTGCCGTGGGCGGCATCCATTTCTTCATGAAGTCTTTAAAAATTTAGCGGCGTTTTCCTCGTGTTCAACAACTGTAAGGAGTTAGGCGGCTTTAAGCTGTTAGAACTTAATTAAAGTTCAGGTGCTTCTTGACCATTGATCATGGACTTATTGAATGTGGAGCCAATTTCCTTGAGGCCGCATAATTACTGTTTAGGACTTTGTTTGTTGAATCCAGTATTTTGGAGCCAGGTAAAAATATTATTTGATGAATGATGGTTATAATATTTTTTCTAAGACTGATTGTTTAATTTAATTTTTTGTATTTTTATCCTTTTTTTATTGTTAATCATTGGGTTAAGTTTGAAACCTCTTATTGTCTTCAATGTCTGCACAACATACTATCTCAGGGAGCTTTTATTGCTACTATTGCTGCATGTTTAATTTTATAAACTTTAAACTTTGCTTTAGCATCAAAGGACTTACGCGCATGCGTAAATGCCTATGCGCATGTGTCAACGCGGTGCATGCGCAGAAAGTTTTTAGCTTTGAGGTCCAGATTATAGATCATTCCGGATTATGGGTGTCCGAATTAACGACTTTTGACTGTAATACAATTTAAAAATATGTTATAGAAAGTGCTTGAAAGAATTGGTTATTGGCTTCATTTCCTTAAATATCAATATACATTTACTTCCAAATACATAGTTTTTCAAAATAAGATAGAGGATTTAATGAGAATATTTTCAGAAGTAGAAGTAGAATGATTTTGTAAATGATAAAACTAAATTTTCAAGTAAATTTTTTCTAGAGACCAAGAAATCCAATTAAAAAAATTCCACACATGTGTTAAATGATAAAAATTTCATATTTTTACATGAAAAATTCAATGAGATATAAATTGCTAATATTCTCAAAGCAAGTTCCAAAGCTAATAACAAATGTTGCTTTACACAATAAAAAAAATCAATTATGAAGACTGACCTATATATTAAAAGAATAAGTTGAATAGCACATGCTCATGGAACTAAGTTTTTTCCATTAAGGACTATCTCTTAAATAGCAGTGTACTTTTCTCCTACTTTCAGGGTTCAGGAATTCAGAAACTGTCCGTTAATACAGAACATCTGTTAAAACAGATGCTTGTTAATAGGAGTTTGATTCTGTCAAGTGTAGACAAAATTTAGCAGTTTTTAACAGAAATACTTTATTTTGTTGGAAAATGCGCCCTGAAAAGTAGTCTATATAAAGTTGTTTTGTCTTCATGAGTTTTACAATTTATAATATTTCTGTATTTAGCTTATCAAAGCATCATAAATATTTTAAGAAATGAATTCCCCCCCCCCATTATAGATGAATAAAAAGTTAAACTATTTTCCTTTACAAAATACTTCAAGCCTAAGCACTAAAACTAATTCCCTAAAATTCTCTAATTTAGTTTGGTAAATTTTGTAACCAAATGTCCAGGAACAGTATTTATGAAAATAAAGTCTACTGCTACCTTTTTTCGACTTGTACGTAGGCTGATCCTTATGAACAGAAAATTTAGCCACATATTTGCATTTCTTGGATACTAATAAATGGGAAACAAACAACTCTATTCAATCAATTTATAATATTACAACCCAGAAACCTAATGCACTATTACTGTCTAATTAAATAACAGCACCATAACTGCCAACCTTGAATTTAGAAAAACTGGGAGATTTTTGTACCAAGAGATAAAAAAAAAAAAAAAAAAAAAAAAAAATCCAAATGGACTTAGTTTCACTTTGTAGTGAATGATTAAGTTACTGAACTTTTTATAGTAACATTCTAGTGTAAAACCTGTTAATATTTATTTATATATTCTAAATTTTGTATTCTTTGGCTAATTTCATTTTGCAATTTTATTTTTATACTAAACAAATCCCCAAGAGGGAAGAAAAGCTTTCATTTATAAAGCATTTTAAACATAATGAAAAAAAAATTTACAAACTATTGAATGGATAAACTTGTAAAGAATCATTTATTGATGTGAAATAAAATTAAATCCAAATACTAACCGATTAAACATTAATTGAATGTTCAAATGTCTGCAGTATATTGAGACAAATCATACAAAAATAAAATTTCATATGAAAAATTATGCTCAAAATCAGTAGGGGGTGAAGGAAAGGAATCTGCACAATTTAAATCTCAGAAATTCAACAAATTTTATTCATCGTTGAGAAGCATTTTTGTTAGCAAAGGCTAAAAATTAAAAACTGGGATAAAAATAAAAACTGGGACCTAGAGATGTGATGGAAAATTGTGAGTCTTCCAGTAAAACTGTCAGAGTTAGCAGCTATGCAACAAATAATTAATAAATAACAAAATCCCCATAAAATGATTTAAAAAACAAAATAATAAAAAAGAATTTATGTATTTGTTGAAAATTCACCCTGTTTGAAAATATTGGTCCACTGGAACTGAATAATGCTTCAAAAGCGCTATAAAGTCTTTACAGTCTTGTTGCAACCTTGTAAAAGCAACAGCAATTTCATCATAATATACTGTTTCACTTAGGCATTCTAAGCACTTTTCTTTGATGGAATCTGGACAAGTATTATTCTAAAAGCAAATTAAAAAAAAAAAAAAAAAGATTAATCAAATTTATTAGACTGGTAAATTTTACAAATCCAGTGAAATATTTCATAAATAGGTTACTTATAGAATTTTACATCTTAATATTTGCACAAAAGAAAAACATGAAAATCTGCACTTCTTTTTTTTTCCCAATTATAATTCATTTTCATTAACCCTCTGACTGCTCAGTTTGTGGACCAAAATCCCTTCAAAATTTTTTTGACAAATTTTAAATCTATATGTATATTGGAAATTAGAAATACGCATTTTTTCCTCTTTAGAAAATATTTTTTTACATAGATTTTTATCGCAAGATACTAAGCTGTCAAAAAAACCAATTTCAGATGTTATCGGTTTCAGATTTTAGTATTTGAGTTTCAGATGTTAAAAAAATCATTTTTAATAAATTTCAATTGAATTACAGTTAATTTCTATTGATTACATAATATAAAAAAGTAAAATGTATAAAATTTAAGAAAATATAATGCACCAAGACAAAAATACCATAGAAATGTAGTTTAGTATAACAGAGTTCGAAACAGAAGGCAAGTTCAAGACAAAGTCCAACATTACAGTCTTTACATAAGATTCATGTTTCTTTGTGCACTTTTTTTCCCATTTGCATCTTTTCTTGAACAGCAAACAGCACACCATCTTTGAGGTTCTCTTTTTATGGGGTTAGGAATAGATACTCTGACAATCGCTGAATGTTTTCTAGCAGTCATTTCTGATTAGAAAAATGGCGGCAAACATACTGAAGTTAGAGGGGTAAATACCAAGTACCTTCAAATGCCACAATTTAGTGGATGACTAATGACATCTGTAAATCAGAAACCTAAATTAAACGTCTAATGTAGTATATAATTTATTTCGCTGGTTAAATGGTGAAAAGGTGGGATGCACTCCTCAATAAAGGAAGAAAAACATTTTGGTACATTTGAGTTGCCCGTGTAAACACTGAATGAGCATTGCAGATTTTATTGGTATGCAACACAAAAATTCCATTCGAATAAGATCAATAAAATGAAGGAATAATGGCACTTATGTATTATCACAACCATTTTAGCCCAGTATGGCGAATTTTATGCAATAAAAAAATTACTTTTATTGTAAAAAATTATGTATTACATAAGATACATATTTTATGTTTTAATTATACTTATCCCACAAAACAGTCAGTAAACCTAGTTAGAAACGGATTTTAGTTTTAGTTGTGGTGAAAATTTCGTAGCAATCACTTTTAGAAAGCATTTGAACAATTAATTCTTTAGCAATTTTGCGGGGAAAATATTATATTTCTGCAGAAATTTCACCTTCTGTTTCTTCTTCTATAAGAAAATCCCATAAGCATAAATTTTAAATTCATGTGTAAGACAAAAATTACTCATAATTTTTCTATAAAAGCCACTGGAACCTGCAATACAGCAAAAAGAATACATACGGAAATGGCAATGTCAGAAACTGAATATTTGTCATGCACATGGTTGCCTAAATAATTGTTATGAGTGTGGTTAACAGAAATTGGCATATTCTGAATCTTTGGTGACTTCTACTAAAGGGGTTGTGATAATATGCAAGTACCCGAATTATATTTTTGCATGTGATAAGGAAATTGAATTATACAATAGATTATATTTCAACAATACATAATTTTGCATTGTAATGAACATATAACATTTTCTATAATTTTTTTTTTTCTGCTGTACTTCCCTTTTTTCACACAAAACTACAGTACATATTTCTTTAAAAAAGATTTAAAAAAAAAAAAAAAAAAAAAAAAAGCTACTCTAATTTGCAATAATTCCAGAATTTTTTCTTTCTACTTAATAAACATGAACAAATTTTTATACAAATTTTATCACACAAGTAAGATTTGAATAGTCAATAAATAGATGTTAAAAAAAATTGCACTGATCAAAATAAACCTTTACTTTGGATCTGAATAACACAAGAAAGAATTGCCCACATAATCATTACTAGAAGGAGAGATATGCATTAACCCTTTCCGGAACGCTACCTTTTAAGGTTGGAATTTAAACACACACAAAAAAGTAGGCAGTTTAATCAGGCCTAGAGGAGTACACAGGTAAAATTTTGTGAAGATAGCATTTATTGTTTTAGTTCTGTGGGTGTGCCCAAAGTGAGCACACTAAATGAATAGATCTTCAAAAAACATGCTGAAACGAGCATTGCTGGGAAGCACATAAAAAAGAAATTTTGGCTATGATTAAAGAACACTAGATTCTGAATACCGTAGCAGATTTAGCATTACCCAGGGTGTGCCAGAGGGAGGCCTGCTGCTCTACACGCCCTAAAAATGCTCTTAGTTATATGATAATTACATCAGCATGAATGGAAAAATGTAAATTAAGTACATGATATTTACATTATTTACATTTCATATTTACACTTTCATCTATTTTTTCATGGTGGTACTTTTCAAAGAAAGTGACACAACCTTTGAAAAAGCACAACCCAATATTGCATACTTTGCACATGTACCGGGATCCGTACCAGATTCACTATCTGAAAGCAATTCGTGTAGCACTTTCAGTGCTTCAAAAATGGTCAGCTCTCCAATCCATTTGGAAAATAATTAAAATTCCAAAAAAATAAACTAGCATCTTATCTACAATTTGAAATTACAATCTATAAAATAAAATTAAATAAATGTCTACAACACAAATCTATTAAATGTAATGCTAACAAACTTCCTTGAACAAAGGCGAAAGAGAATAAGAGAATTAACCGCTCTAGTGAAAAATCAAACAGCTAACTGTAAAATTACTCATGACCTTTGGAAAATCACCCGAACAATTTCATAGTTGATAGCCAATCCTCCTCTTTCCCCCCAAAAAAAGAGAGAGAAAAGAAAAGTAGGAAATGAAACACAGGTGTGGACCCACCTTTCTATGTTAATGAGCTGACTGATGAGCTGCAGAGAAACAAATATACAGCCAGCCTCTTAGTGACCTAGTCTTGTAGTGAGCCCACTCTGGGTACACCTGATGTTCACTGTTCGATTTTAGGCAAGATTTCAAGGTAAGAAATTAAAACTAATATAGAATAAGGAGATTAGCATACAGCCAAGAAAATAACATAGAAATTTCTTTTCAAACAATTCCTTTTATATCCTAAAAATGTCTGGAAGATTTCTTTGAAAAATGAGGGTCTTTAAGAACTAAACATGGCTAAAATATATTGGACTGGTTTGTGTTGGGCTGCCAGCTATCATAAATAAAGAAGGTTCAGAGTAATCTATAGTAACCTATAAATCCTTTCTCATTCAATTTTTCTGTGCTTACAGAAGAAAATTTTTAGGTGTACCCACACTGAGCACACCGTGCCGCAAAGTTAATAAGCTACAGCACTGTCCTAACAAGTAATCCACTGAACTAATGCAAATTTGTTTAATCTGTTTACTGGGATTTGAACCCCGGAGTAAACTACCAGTATTCAGCGACTTTACCGCTCAGCCGTTTGTGGGCCTTTATGAAATGGAAGGCGATAACTTTATTTAAAATGATTTTCAGAAATACCAAGATGTTTCGAAAAGTTGGATGCTTTTTAATATACTTGCAGAACACCTGAAGAAAAAGAACAAGAATAAAGCAGAATGCCTGAAGAAAAACTGTTTAAAGCAGTGTATGCAAGTCATCCTAAGTTAAAATGTCGGTTATACATCTCTCTCATTTATATATCTTTTCTGAATGGAACACTAAAAGGCGTGTTAAATGTGCTTTACTGTATTTTCTCTTTTAATATATGCAGTTTTTAAATGCCTGGTCTTTAGTCTGGGTCACAATGCTTTAGACTGGGTCACAAAGTATTCTTCCGAAAGAAACGCAATTCAAATAAATAAAATCAAATTCTGGAAAATTTATATTAATAAATATATTTAAAATGCTCAATTCGAATGAATAAATAGAAAATTTTAAAATAATTATCTGAAGAGACAATGCAACACTAACAATTAAAATAAAAGTCTAAAAATTTAAAAATTACCTAAAATAGTAACTATGACTAAAAATATAGTATAAAGAAAACTATTTGGAAAAAAAAAAAAATAAATGATGCACCTTCGATTTTAACTACGCAGTTCGAATGAGTAAATAGATTTAAAACAGTTATTTGAAAGAAAATATGTAACGTAAATAATTAAAATGAAATTCAAAAAAGAAAAAAAATTGCTTAAAATTAATAACAATTATAATTAAAATATAATATAAAGAACATTACTTGACAGAAGGAACAATTGGGTCTTTTTTCCTCTCACGCACTATATAAAAATGGAAATTTAAATAGGTTGCCACATATTAAGAAGTTTGCCAAGTGAACTAATTTTTGTGCAAACTGAATAAAAAGTGGCAACATAAATTGTTGAATTTCTCAGTAAATTTTGCACCAAATTTTACAAAATTTAATATTTAGGCATAATTTGAGTCGTAGAATCGAAATATGTAAAAAAATTGGTATGTTATTGCAGAAAAAGTCAGATTTTGTGTCAAAATACCTATGTTAGAATAGTGCTATATATAAATCTAATATATATCCTAAGTCGTGCTTTCAAGACATAAAGAACGCAATTTGAATTTCGTGAATCGGCCCATTAGAACGGGAGATATAGAACTGTCCCCCCCTTTTTTTAGCAGTTACATCTACTAGGATCATTCTGAAATATTTGAGATACACATAAGTTTTTAAAGGTATACTTATAAAATTTTAGGTGTGTTCAAAGTAGTTTATTTCAGCATCAATGCACTCATGGAGGTGAATTTTTTAAAGGTTAAATGCCTCAAGCCATTCATTTCTTAGAATCGATGATAAAAATGCAATTATAGTCCATCAATCTCATCTTCAGAATGAAAACGGCATCCATTAAGTTCTACTGTAGATAAAAAAATAGCCAAAAGTGACACATAGCTAGATCAGATGAACAGGGTGGATGTTCTATCACTTTGATGTGTTTTTATTCAAGAAACCCA